TTTGGACCTTCTCCAGCTCGGCCTGGATGTCCCGGACCTCTTGAAGGCGTCGAGCGGCGGCCTTCTTGTGGCGGTCGGCTTCCTCGGCCAGCATGGCCCGACCTTGCAAAAGCTGGGCCGCTCGGGAAATCTGCAATGCAAAAGACACTCAAAGTTAGCCCGGTTAGGAACACTTGCATAAAAAAGGAGAAATTAGTTGGAGGAGGCTTACCTCGGCCAGGTCGTGGCCGATCCTCTCAGCCACTTGAGTCGGGGTCATCTTCCCCAGATCCTCTCTGATCGGCCCGGCGTTGCCGATACGGGCCAAGATGGACGGCTCGTCCTTGTTTCGCCTGGTCGAAGGGCTCAGGCTGCGTTGTTCTCGGCGGCGCTTAATACCGCCCACCTCGGCCACGCCCTGCTCGGGCACTTTTTCCTTGCCCCAGGCGACTTCTACCCGGGTAACCAGGACGTCGGTCGGCTCAACGACAAAGCCCTCGGCCGTCGTGATGGTCGAGGCGCTTAGGGGTCGGGCTATAGGGACCTCCTTTTGCCCAGCCGGTTTCGCCTTCGGCTTCTTCTTGCCGCCAAGGGAGATCTTGGCGGGCGGGGGAAGAGGAGCGTCGTCATCTCCGAACTCCGCCATTGCTATAAACAAAGCAAAAGTTAGTTAAGTCGGGAAGATAAAGCAGTGCTCGGGAAGTTATGATCGGGAGAAGTTAGTTGGTGTTAAACCTTTCTTCTTCCGTTTGGACGTCTTGGCGACCGTCACGCCCATCGGCACGGGCGGATATTTCTCCCGCAGGTCGTACACAGGGGGCGGGAGTCTAGCCGCCTCGAGACTCTCGGCTGTCCGGAAGATCGTATACTCGTGCAGTTCGCTCGAGATCCGAGCGACAGTGTCCTTGAGCGCTTGCGTCTCGACTGGCACAACTTGCTTCCGATAGTGAGTGCTCCAAGCACGGTCAACCGGGAGGATCCAAGGATCGTACTTGAGGGAGAAGATCCGGTTCTTCCATCCCTTGTTGTTCCCGGGCAGCCCTTTAATCGCGCACATATCTGCTCGGGATTGTAGCATCAGAAATCTGCCTCCGTAGCTGCCCGAGAGAACCTTTACTTGGTAGATGTAGTTGAATAGCTCCATCGTGCAAGCCGCTTCGTGCCGAGCGCATATCTGGGGGAAGCATGCGATGATCCTGTGCGAGTTGGGACAAATCTGGGCTGGAACGACCCGGTAGTACCCCAAGAAGGCTGTCAAGAGAAGGGGGAAAGGAATAGCAATCGGGGCCATCAGGGAGTCGTAGTGCATCCCGATCCATTTGCCCTGATGCCGGTCGATGACATTCCCGAGCCTCCGGCTTGTGTCGAATTCTACCCGACCCCTGAGCCTCTCAGCGATCCTGGCCGCTTCACCTTTGGTCAACCGGCTCATTTGCTGTTCGACATTCTCGCTGTTCAAGAATTCGAACTCCTCAGCTGCTGGTGCGGCCGGTCCGGCTGTATCTTCCTCGGCCGGCTCGGGAGTGTTTTCCCGGTCGTCTCCTCGAGGAATGGCTTCCAGGTGATCCCCAATCACCCGGGTTGGCGTTTCCCTAACGCCCTCGGGTGGGGAATCTTGTCTGCCCGTCGAGGTTCCTTCTTCTTCTTCTTCGCTAGAACTCCCCGACCCGCTTGAGCTAGAGCTCGATGACCCGGAGGAGCTTGATGTTTCTCTTCGTTCGGGAGCCCGCTCGAGGGCTTGTGCCGGTCGGTGGATGACCTCGGGAGAGTAGGACATGATGTCCACCTCTTTGTCGCTGAGATACTTGACTTCCTCGTCGTAGTCCGCAATCGAGGCGTTTTGGCTGTCAGAGTCCGTCATTTCGATCTACCTAAAGGTCGGTCGGGGTTAGTAAAGAACTTGAGACGTCCGGGACAGTTAGTTGGCCTATCAGTTCTACGTATGAATGAAAGTGTTAAGTAAAAGAGGGCTGGGAGCTTACCGATTGGAGGTGCTTTGCGAAAAGAGTCTTGAAGTCTTTTTGCTCGACTGCCTTGCTGAAGTGCTCTGCTCGGGACTCTCTGAGGGTACCGATCGAAGAAATAGACTGGAGAAAGTTCAAATGAGGGCCTCAAGGGCCTATTTATAGGAGAGCATTTAGGCGGGAAACGAGTCCACTTGCGTGACATGACCCGCGCTGATTCCGAGGCGACTGTTGCAGTCGCAGAGGCCGGCAGTGGCCGACACGTGGCGAGGGAAGGAATGACAGCTGGCTGGTCGGTTTGATGGCTGACGGTTGGGCTTCTTCATCCCGTCCCGTTTTTTCCCGAACGGTCAAAAAGGTCCGGGCTGGGGGGCTCTTGGTAGGGAATATCCCGACCGACATAATTTTACCCCGGTTGGTATGCCTTTGTCTTTTTCTTCTTGTCTTTGCAGGTAGCAGGTCGGGCTTCTTGTGAAGAACCCGGTCGGGGTCCGACCGGGAGTTGCTCGAGCGACCGTGTCGATCACCGAGCGGTAGCCCTTTGGCGAGAGAGCTGACAAAAGACACGTGGCGGTTCCTTGCGACGACAGACAGGGCACCCGGGAGGACGACACGTGGTGGCTACGTGGAGAGTATGCCGAACGACCGGATTTGTGTCTCCGACGCAGCGGCTATAAATACCCACAGTAGCTACAGTGTGAAAGACTTTTGGACGATCGATAGGTTGTTGTTAGAGAATCCCGACCGCAGTCAGTCGGTACTCAGAGCAACCAAGTAGATTGTACTTAGGGCCTTCACCGTGATCAATAAAGATATTTACTTGCTTTATTTGGTCTCGTGTTGTTTATTTATTGCTTACGTAATAATTAGCAGTATCAGTTTTATAATGGTGTATACATAATTAATTCAGTTGTTTTTTTTTGTAAATAAAGAACACAATAATATGTAATAGTAGAATACTATGAAGATTTTTGTCAATAACCAAAGAGGCAAAAGAAAATGATGCTATTATAGATGGAATTGAGAGAGATTATAAAGGATATTAGGCTCACTTGCCAATAAAATTCAAAATAATAAAAATTTGAAGTACACATATTTTTTTTTAAAGCAATTTGAAGTACATAGTAGTTTAATTTGCGAAAAAAAATCTGAATAATAGTAGTGTTTATTTTTATGAAGGTAAATAATATAATGGAACAAATTAAAAATGAAATTAAGATTGATAAAGTGAAACAGATGAAGTATTTTTATCTATGTTGTATTGATATAAACACTTTAAATTTGCATTTTAAGTATTTTTATTTCACACAATGATAAAATATTACACATTAGCCATCAATGTTAAGTACATCCAAACAAATAAAATACCAAAATTTTTAAAAAGTGCAAATCTATAATTAAAAGAGAAAAATGTCAAATAAGCCCACAAACTAATAACATAGAGTGATTAATTAACTTTTCGAATTTCATAAAACTTTGAAAGAGGAAATTTCAATTGTGGTCATATGACTATAGTGATCTTGTTAATTTCAGTCCTTGACTATTAAAGTGTCAATTTAGTACCTTAACTATGCATTTTTTGTCAATTTTGGTCACTCCGACCAAATTGTTGGTCAAATTTCGCCGAAAAATTTTAATTGTTAAAATAATGAGGGTATTTTGATCATTTCACGTCTCTTTTCTTCTTCCCAAGCGAGTTCATCCCTTCCTCTCCCGTTTCCGGTGAATGCAATGAACTAAGATGATGGGGAAAGGAGGCTTGATGATATTAAAGATATGGTTTAGAGGGAGAAACTCTCCCTGCGACTAGGGTTTTCTGCGATAAGCTCCCTGCGATCTAGGGTTACGACAGCTTTCTTCGAGTTCGGCAACGGACAAGAGTGCGAAAGCCATGGATGTTCAGCGAATTATTAACTCCACGGCGAATATCAGCTTGGAAGATGAGGAGGATTCATTGAAAAACTTATTGTCTCTAAACATTGATACTTTCCATAGTATCACTATAGTATTTCAATAATCTAAACAACTCATTTATGATGAAATTATAGTCTTAACATAATGTTAGTAATTTTGTTGATGAGCATAAAGCCATCCTAATAGAGCCTTCACAGTTTTTTTAGGAGAAAATGGGTGATGTGAAGAAGATAATAGGAAGAGAGAGAATGAGTGAATTGCTTGCAGGAGTTAGGGTCTTTTGTATGATATGTACGGCCCGTGTGGAAATGAGTAGCGCACATGGTTTGCATGTCGCACGCAAGATGTGCGCCCAACGGGCGCGTAAAAGACTTTTTTTAAAAAAAATTTCTTTTCTCTTTTTACTGTCATATTTGTTTGTTTGTTTTTTTTTTTTTAAAATTTTTTTTTTGTTTTGTTTTTGTTTTTGTTTTCTATCATCTCTCATAATCTATTTCATAATCCTACCTACAAAAATTACACGAAAATCCCCACCATTGAGGATGCCCAAGTCCATAAGAAATTGATAAAAACATGTGTGAGATCGTCTCACGGATCATTGTGAGACGGGTCATGTTAATATGAAGTGTAATACTTATATTAGCAAATATAATACTAAATCAGAATAAAATGTTTATTACTTATATAGGAAAACATAATATTTTTGAAGAAAAATATAATATTTTTACATTTTGATATAAAAGTATTACATGTTTTATAAAAAATATTACACTTTTCTTTATAAGTATAACATTACTTATAAATGAAAATATAATACTTTTTGATGAAAAGAGTAATATTTTGACATTAAAATGTAAACGTATTTTATTTGTCTTTAAAAATATTACATTTTTCTTTTTAAGTAACAATTATTTTATTTTTAATTTAGTATTACATTTGATAGCATAAATATTATATTTGTGTATTGACTCAATCCAATATAAATATAAAGATTGTGAGCGGATCTCAAACAAATGTAACCTTAAGAAATTATTAAGTTGAAACAATCAAACAAAACTCATTTTCATGTACGGAGTATCATTTTTCCATTTTAAAAAATAAATAAATAGGAGATGGCCACAGTATCAGTATTCCCGCAATTTTATCCCGCGAATCATACGAAACTAATTCGAAACAAAGGCTCCCCTAGCATTCTGGTCTTCTGAACATCCAAATTCCGATGGAAATCGAGAAGAATTGCACTTTTGATCCTGTAATTCCCTTTATTCTCTATGCTCTTCTTTTCAATTTTTTTTTTCCAGAGATTTCTCGTCCTCAAAATTTTTTTTTCTCCCTTTTTTGGTCTGTAAATAAAATAGGACTTGGTTCACGAAATCTTCAAGCTCGTTTGGAGAAGAAGAGCTGCTGGTCCCGCTTTTAACCTTTTCCTCTATATCATTTCCCTTCGATTCCACTTTCGAGACTTACTTTGACGAATTTCCCTGCAGATCGCGAGAAAAATGAACTCCCCCAAACTATGGACACCGAGATTGTCGGAGCAGCTAGCGCCTCCAGGAAAAATCGGCCTACTTTTGGTGAGAAATTAAATATTTGTTTTGAATTTTGATATTCGAATACTGTGCATTTTATCAATTTCATGTACTCTTGCTTGTGTATGTTGTTGATTACAGTAGGACAAGAATGAACATTAAAAATTTCCTATTTTAAGATTGTCAGAAGCAAGCTATATGTATTGAGTTGTCTGTAGTTTGCTTCAGTAGTGAATAAGAACCTGTTTAATCTGGCTTAGTAATCTCTAAAAGTTCTGTAGGGAATGCTCTATCTTGGAAAGAGTTATGTTTGGCATGTTTCTTAGAGATCAAGAATTGCTAAAGTGGATGAAGGAAAAATACTAGAATGTTTGTAATGCCATTAGTAAAAAATGATTTTCCATACTGTTCTTTCCAGTTTCCATCAATGTGCTTTGCTAATTAGATTATATTTTTCACCTACTGAGATGGAAGGTGGAGCACATTACGAAACCATCTCAAAGATCATAGGAGAGTATCGTTTAGTGTTTCCAAGGAAGGTTGTTTGGTTCTTTCATTTGGATAATTATAGTTGACTTGGTTTTTCAATATACAGTATATTTCTATTGACATAAATTAATGCTCATAAACAGCTTAGCTGGCAGCAATCAGTAGCATTTATGCTCAGCCCTTGCCCTGTACATTCTTGTAGGAAGCATTTGGATGTAGCTTAAAGAATCAGCTCTTACACCATCTTTACCATTTCCGTCTCCCCACAGTTTTATTTGCTGAGAATTACAAAAAGATATCTGTAATCTAAATGATTGATTCCTTATGTGTTTTATGTTGATCCATGCAGCTAATGCAACTGCACTGAAGCTGAGCTGCGAGCTGCTCCGAGTTTTTGTTGCAGGTTTGAGTGCCTTATTTGAAATAACTATAAACTATTATTCTCTGATTGGATGTTGTTTTTCTTTGTAAATATTTTAACATAAACCCATTTCTATAAGTACACCTCTTTCCTCTGTAATGTAGAAGCTGTGCAGCGTGCTGCTGCTATTGCTGAAGCTGAAGGTACTCATAGAATCGAAGCAACACATTTAGAGAGGATACTTCCACAGCTGCTTTTAGATTTTTAAGGTACTCTAGAAAACAATGAATTATGACTTGCATGGAAATTGATGGTATCAGTGTTTAGGTTCACTGATTATTTTATGATCTGAAAATTGAAATGGCCTTTTTAGCATTTATTTTATGAATTATGAAAACATTTTCTAGATCACTAGATGTTTTATGCTTTTGAAGTAGCTTGAAAATATCTTATATTTTCTGATAACAATATGTAATTTGATTTGTAAACCTAATGCAGTTGATTTTAATTTCACAATGATAGAATTGCTCTTAACAAATCTTTCCTCTAAACTTTGATAAATCTATTTGTTATTGATGTGATGGGATGTGAATAATAAAATCCTGTTGATTACTGACATTCCAGGGATGGAGATTAGGATCTTAAGTCTTCCAAAGGACTGATTTATAACAAAAGTTCTTCCATATGTTGACATAATGAACAATTTCTGTTTAAATGAAGGTTTATATTCAAATATGAACATAGACAATAATTTCCCTGCTGCTCTGCGTTGATTACGTATTATCACAACTAGACTTAGAAATATAATATGTTGCAGAATAAGTATATTGATTTACTAAACTCTTATCTTCCAGGAAATGTTATAAGTTCATTCAATGATCTACCTGGAGTTATAATCTAACTTGCTGCTGGAAATAACTAAATAAGTTAGGAGTTAGGGCATACGTGGTGATCTATGTTTGGAAGGCAAGAAATGGAGTTATTCTAATGGTGCAGAAATATTCTCTCACCAACTCTCAAATAAGTATACAGTGCTTAAATTTACAGAAAATACTAAGTCTTCTTGAGAGATCAAGGCATATATACTTTTGATAATCAATATGACTTACATAACCATTGTGCTTTCGCTTCTGGCTCCAATTCATGGTCCATGTGCTTTTCAGGAATGTACTGATTTTTGAAAATTTTCATTATGTTGTTTTCCTTTCATCTAATATGTTGAGTTAATTTCTTAATACTACTTGTACTTTGTTTGCATGATTTCCCTGGGAAATTTCCTTCACTTTTCCTGGAGCACTGTAATATTTCTCTCTGTGACTGGTTTTTTTTTTTTTTTTTTTTTTTTTTTTTTTTTTTTTTGGGAAGGCTCTCTGTGACTGTTATTATTTTACTTTTGTTCTTCAAGATGCAACTCTTATGGCAATCCCTCATTTTCTTGCAATTAATGCTGGTGTTATGAATTTTAACAATTTCACATCTCTATTACCTGTTCATACAGATGTTGGAAAACATTCAGTATACTTCTGATTTCCATCTTTTTATAGATGCAATGATGCCTGACCTGAATCAAAATGTTTTATATGTTCAGGAGTGTGTATGACTTAATACCTATTGTAGAATAGTATATACATATAAGTTAGTCTGTATATTATGAATTAGGAAATTGTTTTGTTTCCTACAACAGAACAGACAGAACAGTGCTATGTAATTATGCAGGTTTACTTTTCCTTTCCCTATTATTGTATTATTATATATTATTGAGTATAATCAATAAGAAATAGCAGGTTTTCTACCAATTCTTTCTACATGGTATCAACGCCAGGTTCTAAGGCCTAATTGCTGCAAATTGTTATCACCATGGCTACCAATGAGCCAACCTCTTCATCATTAGAAATAACCTCTCCTCATGTCCCATCTCCTAACCCTAATTTGGGCTCATCTAATAGTAGCCATCTTCCATCACCAACCACAAATTGATTGGTCATAATTACCTCCAATGGTCTCAACCTGTGATGATGTATGTATGTGGGAAAGGTAAAGAAGACTATCGTACCAGTGATGTTCCTCCAAGCAAACAAGATGCAACATGGAAGACAGAACAATGTGGTCATGTCATAGGTAATCAACACAGCAAAAATTTTCTCCTTTATTACAGTTCAAGAAATCTATAAAGCAGCACGAGAAACCTCCTCTAGTTTTGAAAATACAGTTGAGTTATTTGTTGTAGAAAGTATGCTTTATGAACTCAAACAAGGAGATAATGTTCATGATTACTTCAATTCAATTCTTGACGAGTATAAAGTTTAAACAATGTTTTAAATTTATGCTATGAAGTATTACATTTAAGTTATAAAGTATTATGTTTAAGACTTAGTATTGATTATATATGTTTTAGATTTGTGCTACGAAATATTTTACATCCGTCCAAAATATGCCATCTATGAATTAGTACATGTAAAACATACAGGTACAAGACAACATAAATTAAGAATTTAAAGTCATTAAAAGTGATTGAAAATCTATTTTTCATAAGCCCACATCCTTAGACCTGTGTCTTCCACAATGATATTTTTTAACCACAAAAAGTGCCCAATACATTAACGATACCATCATTTTGATAAGAGAATGCAAAACAAAATATGCAAGCAAACAAGAATATGAGTCGTTGGAGCTTCACTTGCCACCGCACCCCACCACCATTGCAAACTACCAGTGCGAAATCTGAATTTACAAAAATGGAAGGAAATCAGTGCACAAATAACTCTAAAATTTCAGAATTTGAAATAACATAAAACATTTACAGAAGAGAAGAAAACATACCAACCAACCAAGAATCTATTGAGCAGGAAAAACAGAAGACAGAAAGATTTCATCTTCCTTAAAAACCTGATGGTTGTTTATCTTCATCAGGAAGCTGATAGCCATCTTATCAAACTTGGCGATGAACCCCAATCTGATGAGTTCAGCAAGCTCACGCACCACATCTTCTTTCTCCCATAATATCCCCTTGGAAACTTCTTCTGAGTAATACGTAGCATATTCCAGGACACCTTGGTAACCATTCGATTTCTCAATCTCTGCAATGAAGAACTTGGACCTCTCTCTCTCCCACACCATCATTCTCTTAGCCTTTGCAATCACAATTTTCCCAGACGAGAGTGATAGCCGATAGTCCACTGCAATTGGTTCTTTCAGCTTCAGAAATCTTGTGTTCACGAGCTGCCTGACCAACTCGTGCCTCTTCTCCGCTTCCATCTCCAGAGAAGGCTGAGCTAGGAAACCAAGAATGAGAGTGAACAGGGTTTTCCCAATGAAGATCATATCCGGATTGGCCACTTCCAGCCCAGCACAGTCGATTGAAGAAAGTCCCATATTCTGGGCAGATTCTGACAGAGCCCCAACACCAATTTCTCTGTAGATATTGAGAAGCTTGGTTCTGGGCAAGGATGGCAGGCTTGGCTGGGGGTACCAAACAAACAGAGGATCCACACAACTTTGTTCAAAAAGTTCCTTCTTGTAGAGATCGTCGGCTATAAAAACGTCGTTTTTGTCAAGCAACAAAATCCCATCATCCTGGACTGAACAAACAGGAAGTTTGGATACATTCTCTGCAACAAGTTTCTGTGTCTTTGAGCTCCAATGGTTCACTATGAACTCCCAAAAGGCACAGCACTCAGAAGTCAGTAATCTCCTCTCTGCACACTCCCATTCCTTCCAAAGCTTCAAGTAGTGTTCCAGACTAGGATTGCTATTAACTCCCAATTTGCTGAAGAAAACCACCAATTCATTGCTGTAATACTTGTCTAACACAAACAAGTGGGAACCAAAAAGATTGGTTTTATCATGGAGAACACAATCCTCAGGACTCACCCACTTTCCACTATTATCCCCATTGGGAATCCATATCTTTGCACTTTCATCATTGCTAGGAACCCAACCGTGATTGTTCAAGTAAGTATATATCCGATTGATAGTGGCGCGATTAGAGTGCATATCAAGGTAATCAGCAACCAAGGAGCATCCATTTTTCGCCTCAACCACTACCCCCAAAGCCTCAAGTTCTTTCATGTAAGGCAGAAAATCTGGGCCACCATAAAACTTGTCATCTATGAAGGGTCCATCTTCTTGCTTCAGCCTACCATTCCAACTAGAACCAAATAGCAAACACTGTTTTGGAGATCGATAACCTGCTTGAGTCTTGATCCACTTATGATCGAGTTTCTCCAAGAGAACGGAGATCATATCCTTATCAACATCCTCTTGTAAATTCCTTAAGCACAGCAGAAGTGAACACACAACAGAAGGCAACATTTCACCATGATTCTTGGGCAATCGGAGCCCTGCAGGAACAAACTTTGAGCCTTTTCTGAAAGTGGTAGTGATCCCCATACTATAAAGCTCAGCTCTGTACTCAAGAATGCCATGGTCATAATAAGCATCATCCAGAAATGGTAACAAAGAGACAGAAGAAATGGCTTCCCATTCTTTACCAAACAAGATGCACTCTTTAGGAGTACAGGCACTACCAAGTCTTGTTCTAAGCCACTTCACCTCTTGAATAACTTTCCCTATATCTTCATCTGACTTTAGTAAATTCAAGCCGTTTGCTTTTAACTTCCGGTAGCATTCCAGGAGGGAAAGTGCATTGCTCTTACTCAACGCGCATTTGGATGTCTGCTGTCTAAAAACTTGGGCAAATGACTTACTAACAGCCTCAAAACTAACCACCACACCCAACATTTGAAGTTCACTCTTGAACATACTGATTTTACTCCCATAGAACTTCTCGTCAATACAAGGAAAGCCATCGAAAACCTGAAGAAGGCTATCCCAGGTTGGATCAGGTAGGAAACATTCAGCAGGAGATCTGTATCCATTGCTCAGTCTTTAAGCATCTATTGCCCGCGAGGGCAATGCATAGACTACCAGAAGAGCCTAAATTTAGGTGACGAATACAGTTTAGTGCCAGGAGAGCTGCTTCAGCACTTAGTGAAGTCAATGACCCTGAAGGTTTCAAGTTGGAAACTACTAGCTGGAAATCTTGATTGTAACCAAAGATGACACCAAGAAGCTCGAGTTCTTCCGTGTAAGCAAGAATCTCCTGACCATAATGAATTTGATCAAGAAATGGGATGTCGCTGATCTGTGATGCAGCAGCCCATTCCTTATCAGGAAACACAGATTGGCCTGGGGTCTTGTAGCCTTGAGTTGTCTGGACCCAACTCTCATCTTTGATACTGTTGATGAAGTTATCAGGAGGGAGAACTCTAGCCCTCAAATACCTAATGAAATTCAGCATCGAAATGACATCGCCTTTTGTCAATGTAGAAGAAGCATACAGAGACATGAAGTGCTTCCCAATAAATTCACTGGCTTCGTTTAACTCAAACATAACACCAGCAGTTCTCAGAGCTTCTTTATACTCCCCAGAAAGCTTATCACCATAAAACTCTTGATCAACTAATGGAATATCAACAGGCAAAGATCTATTCTGCAAATGATCTCCCCAGGACTCGGAAGGTAAGAAGGATTGTGATGGGGGCCTGTAGCCTGGATTACCACATACACGCACTCTAAGCCAGCATCCTTCCCTTATGCATTTCAAGAATCTCTCTGGAATCTTTATCTTTTTCTTTTCCATTTTACCAATCCAACGTAAAAGCAGGAATGCATTAACCCTGGTTAGTGGGGAAGCCATACTGGATAGTGAAACATCTGGAGGAGGCAAATTGGGAATATCCAAAACACCAGCAGAAGTCTTAAGAAATTGAAGGAGCTCATATTTCTTGGTAGACACACCAGCATATGTTTGAGCATGCAAATATTCTCCATCCAGCTCAACATAACCCTCTTTTTTCCATGGATTTGATGAACCAAGAAGATGCACCCATTTACTTCCATTTGCAGGTACAACAACACGTATCGTATTATTAGTGGCCACCCGCCCATAGTCATCAACAAGCGGCATGTCAACAGCAAGCGAAGCAATTTGTGTTGCAGACAAATACTTGTGGGTGAAGGAGTGATACAGGAAATGAGCATATGCAAGGACAAGCTTCTGGTCATGAATCAGTGAGTCCCGGATCATAACTGCATAGTTTTGCACATCTACAGACTTCACACTCGCCTCACTGCAAAGCCAATTGAACACTCTCGTCCACTTATAATTAGAAGGGCTACTGTGAAGTGTTTTCTGTGTTGATTCAGAAATGAAATATCCCCCAACGCAACGAAATTCTCTATTCCAACTTGTCAGCCATGATACTTCATCTGAGCAAGTGCACAGAAACAGCGTTTTTGTATAAGCAGAATTAACGCTACTCAATGCCACATGCAGGTTACTGTCAATGTACTTCAACAATGGAACTTTCACCATATTCCTCATTGAAAATGACCTCCAGTTGTTCACAACAAATAACAGAAGTTCCAGGTATAGATCCTCTGAGACACCCAAGACAAGATTAGAACTCTGAATGCTCCTCGAATACCACTCGTATATTACAAACTTTACATCCAAAAAATTCAAAATGTCATAGTACTTCTCCTGATCAAATGCATGGTTCAGAATATATTTCCCGTGGGAAGAGATGTTGAGGAAACTAACCCCTTGCTTCCTTGCTTTATCCACCAAGGTCCAAAACGCAGGCTTTAGCCTTCCAACTTGATTTGGTTTTCGGAAAAACTTCTGTGTTGTATATGACTGACACGGCATAATATCCTCCTGGAGAAGTTTCTGTCTGATTGAGTCTCTGATGGAGTTAAGACTGGAATATGGAGAACCTCTAAGTGGCAGAAAGTTAAACATATGAACCAGAGTAGAAGTTGGAGCATCTTGGTTGGCTTTAACTAACGAGGTGAATGCCGCTAAGAAGGCCACAGAAACACAGTCAAGAATTCCCTTATTCCATTTGTTATCCAAAAGAATGGCCTCCCGGGATGATGATAGCAAGAAGTCGGCCTGAATAATGAAGGGGAAGTTGGTGACCATTTCTGTAGGAAGAAAAGCATAAACCCCAGGAGAGATATTTCCACGTTTGAGGCGTTCTCCATAAGGAAACGCAAGGGTGATCACCCACTCATCAACCTCCATTCTCCTACCAACTTTACATTCTTGCTTAACTGGGAATCTTTGCCTCCACATATGGTAACTGCATTGCCCATTGCTCCCAGCAGCAGCAGCCTTTTCGTCAGCAGAAAGAACCAGCAGAAAAGACTCAGCATCAATGTTTTTCTTCCTCAGAAGATCTCTCTCGCTTGAAATGGAAACAGCGCTAACAGTATTGAGCTTTGGATCCTGGTTTTCTTCCCTGACCGAAAGCTCCCTTATCTTTGAAAGAAACAAGAGAAGCTCAGGATGAATGGTTGAAAGCTGCTGCTTCACCGGCGCCACCTTGTCAGACTTGAGCGGCAAAACCAGAGTTGTGGGAGGAAGTTTGGTTGAAGAACCATAGATTTGGTTAATCTGTGCAAGAATAGGGTTTCCATCCACCCATTCTGGAACAATAAACCCAATACCGCAGTGGTCGCACGGTTCCTCGCTAAATCGAATCTGGTAACCATTGCTAAAAATGTATGGCCGAGCAGTGATCAGAAACACGCTCTTGAACCCAATCCCTGAAACACGTACACAAGACCAGAGAACTCTATCTCATACGTTCTTATTCTTATAAATGAATGAATAGATAATGATAAGGAGAAGACAAAAAAAAAAAAAAAAAAAAAAAAAAACAAACCTTTCTCGCCAATATAGCCACTCTTGCGTCTGCCTTTCTTAGTGGAACGGCCGACGCTACAAATGGATTCAACGTTGTTCCTCGAAAAGCCTTTCTCGTTGTTGAATATCAAGAGAGTCGCATTGGCTCCCGTCTCCGTTATATCTTTTGAGGTTATAACGAATTCCAGACTGGGTTTCACTCCCTCCTCGTACTCATTATCCTCAGCATTCTGCACACCATCCATCACTTACGTCTTAAGAAATAATGGACTAACTACTAGCTACAAACTGGCCTGGCATGAACTGAAGAACAGAAATTAATATATATGTATATACCTGGATGAGTTCCATGAGAAAGTGGACATCCTTGGAGTAGAGCTCCGCGGAGAGGTTTTTAACAGCCTGATGGAGGTCCTCTCTGAGAGAGTTTGGGTCTCCTCCGATTGAAAATTTTCTTCTGCGGATATCCTCAATGTGATCCTTCGGACTCATCATCATCGCCATACTGCAAAAAGGATGATCAACCGGAGTAGCTAAAGCTTAGTTGGTGAAGGGCTGATGTAGTGTGAGAGAAGCTTGGGATAGATGGATGGATGGAAAGACATCAATCACATCATATCGGAAGACAGACAGCAGTGGAAACCGGAGATTTTGGGGTCGTTTACTAACTTGGAAAAATGGAGAATTTTCTGAAAATTTGGAGAATTGAAGAAGTAGAAAAATGAAAATTGGAAAACTTGTTTAGAATTATATGCTAGTTATTTCCTAAAATATAAATATCAAATTTATAAAAATATTTTACATTATTATTATTATTATTATTTACAATAATTTAAATATCTAAAATCTAAATAAATTTAAAATTTTAATATAAAGGACTAATATTGGGCACCTATTTCTTGGGCATCGCGCATAAAAAATACTAATAATAAAATAAAAATTTAAGAAATTAAAAACTAGAGGAATGGAGAATTGAAAACGGGAGGAATGGAGAAATGGAAAACTGGAAGAATGGAGAAAGAAAACTGGAGAAATGGAGAAATGGAAAACTGGAAATGGAAAAACAGAGAAATGAAGTAAACGACCCCTTTGGGTGTAGAAGAAGCGGGAACCGATGGGTCTACGTCTATCTATCTTTAAAAAAAAAAAAAAAAAAAAAAAAGAGAACTCGTCAATCTTATATCTACTATACTAATAAGAGTCCAAGAGAGTTTCTACTATACTAATAAGAGTCAAAAGAGTTAGGCCTATAATGGGTAGAAAAAATGGCGGTCAAATTTTTTAATCAAATGAATGGCTCAGATTGATCAGATTTTAATTTTTCCTTAAGATTTTCTAATTTATTCTTAATGAATATGATTTTTCGTTAACTTTTCCGTTAAATATTATCTTTTCCGTTAACTTCTGTTGGTTCACCGTTAATTTACTCATTGATTTCAATAAGAAAGGTCTTAGGTTCGAACCCCATCTTAATCAAAGTTGGCATAATTAGTATTCTATTTTACTCTTATTAAATTAAATAATAATTTATTAGCTACAACAAGAAATAATACATATGCATTTCTTGAATTTAGAATTATGTGTCTCCAATGTCTTTATTCAAAAAAATTATTCATTATCAATAAATTAAATAAGAGAAATAAGTTCATTAGTTATATTGTCTTTATTTTTCTTCAATATAAAAATTCTTTACATTCAAATTCATCAATTGATTATATTCACTACATTGTCTATTATCTTTTTTGTGCACTATTTTTTAATTAAATATCAAAGTTATAATATAAAATAATGTTATATATTTATTTACCAAGTATTTTATTAATATCATGAAAAAATTAAACAATTATAATTAATAAAGTCAATCATATTAACTATTTGAGGAATTTGTTGACAAATGGAGTATTCAAATCGATCACACAACAAATTGAAGTGAGAATTATCTCGCAATGTCCTTGTTTGACAATCAGCAGTTAGCGATTATATTAGCAAATTTGACCAGCGAATTATATCAATGGTGGTAAAAAGATATTTGAAAAAATTAGTTGTTTAGATTAACATGTAAAATGACCTAAGGGGATACATAATAATAATAATAATAATAATAATAATAATAATAATAATAATAATAATAATAATAATAATAATAATAATAATAATAATAATAATTGTTTTAAAAAAAATAAAAAAATATAATTAAACCAAACATATTAACTACTTGAGGGATTTATTGACAAGAAGAGTATTCAATTCACACAACAAATTGAAGTGGGAAACTATCAATGTCCTTGTTTGGCAATCAACAGTTAGCTCTTCAATATTAGTATATATTTAATATTTTATGTCCTAATTTTTATTTGTTCTCCCTTATGTTTCGTATTTGGTTTCAACCATACCTATAAAATTATTTTATTGACAATCATAATCAATTTTGACTATATTATCTTGCATTTGTAAACTTAGAATTGCTTATTAAATACGTAAATTTAACATTCAATTATCTATGCATGAACAATTCCAATATAATCTTGTCTTGATATACTTTAAAGTACTTATTTAAAAATAAAAAAAATATTGGGCATTATCCAATCGCGCAATGCGCGTAAAAAACTAGTACTCCTATAAAAGTTGAAATTCCCAACTGAAGAATTCCACTAGGCTCGACATAACATACATTTATTTACTGTCCACATAAAATAAATATTCTATTAGTGTTCGTCACACGTTAGGGAGTATAATTTGAGACTCTATATAGTAAATTCTTAAATGTATGTATATATGAACGTTGATGACCACTGGCTATCCCACTTTACATCCAGTACTAGGTCCCTATAAGTCTACTGCCCTGTCCAGAATTGAACCACATAAGCTATCTTTATACTCTCAAAACCTTTTTTTGAAGATACTCTCAAAACCTTAATACATAAAAACTACCACATTTCCATATAGGCAACGTGATTACCATAAACAAAACTAGGAAAGGTTTCCAACTAGACTTACAAAAAAGCATAGTTTTGTAAGAACAACACGTAAAAGCTAACAATAATTCATGCCACATTATGAAGTAAAAGTAAAGAAGTCGAAATATGAAGTACATATATATATAGTAGAGTTAATTCCAGCAATGGTCCTCTGACTATGTTGATTTTTTATAATTGATTCCCGACTTTTAATTTAGACAATTTAGACACTTGACTTTTGAAATCTTTCTAATGTTGATCCTTCCGTTAGTTGAAGGTTAAATGGCCGTTAGTTTGAGAGGTAAAGTCGTCATTTCAATTGCTTAGAGTATAATTTACCTTCCTTAGTCGCCGTGCTGTTTTTCGGCATGTCTGCAACCATCCTCCGCCAAATGATCTATTCGACCACCCGGATGGGGCTGTACGACATGATGAGGCAGAAGTGGAGTGACCCGAAAACGAATAACATGTCGCTGGCTAAGAAAACCGGGCCCGGACTTATCGCCGGCGGGATAGGAGCCGCCCTGGGGAACCCCGCCTACGTGGCGATGGTCTAGCTATAGCAACTAGTTCCCACCAAACTCCTTCCTACGGGTCAATAGAATTTGAGATGAAGATGAAAGGAAATAATTGAGGTTTGGGATGAATGCTATGCACCACTGGTCCATATAACCTATTTCTTCCTTCTCTTTAAAGGAGATCCCTCAGATTTGGTCTATATATTCTCAAGAATAGATGGTCTCAGGGAGCTGAAGTCCGCAAACTTCTCAAGGACTTCTGATTCTGGTGGCTTCTCAAGGACATTGGAACCTGCTTCTGATTCCCCATCATTGGTTCCATGTCAAGTGACACTGCTGCACAATCTTGCGAGCAGCATCTTTGACACAACCACAACATAGATTCAGCTCAACATTGCCTCTACACAGCACGACAACACCAACACTGGAGGAGAAAGGGAGAAAAACGGTGAATTATGTTCTAAGCAGGTGAGATGACTACTTTACCCCTCAAATTAACGACTACTTAACCTTCAACTGATGGAAGGATCAACATTGGAAAGATTTCGAAAGTGAAGTGTCTAAATTGTCCAAATTAAAAGTCGGGGACCAATGGTGGAAAATCAACATAGTGGGAGGACCATTGCTGGAATTAACTCTTTATACGTCAAGTAACTTTTCAATTGATTAAAGAAGTGTTTGAAAAATGACTTATCAATCAAAATTTGGTTCAAGAAGTAGAGATGCTCAGAATTTTAATTATTGTATTCCTTCTCCCTTCCCTTCTTTTTGTTCAGGCATCCATTTGGGAGAAGAATATAACGAAGCAGTAGAACAATGTCTTCCCACACGGCATTACAATTTACTTTTTCAAATCTTAGGTCTCCAAACTAACAATCAGCTCTATAATATAAAAATAAAATTAATTAACTGTTACAAACTCAATACTAACATTTAAACATAATACTAACTAGTATGCATTATAAATGATTAAGGAATTAATGAGGTTAACAACAATTATACCTATATATTACAGTTACAATACTATACACACACATATGATACCATAATTTTTTGCCTTTTAACTAATTTTTTCTTAAAAAGCTATTTTGTTAACCAAACATGCATTCCATGAATTCTCTTTTCCTATATATGCATACTTTTAAAAAGTGGCATATTTTTGTATCCCATAAAAAAAACCGTCTCAATTGTATTAATGACTCGCTTCAGTGACACTGCTAATTATAAGCATGTTTGAAGATGTGGGAATGATATCACAAACTTTGCACCTTCAATGCTAATTCCAATCCTCCTGTGTTTGTCTCTCAGATCAGTATGCATGTGTTCTGTACAACAATGTTAGGATGAAACTACGTTTATTTAATCAAATGATACTTTTCAAAATGAAATATAATTGTGTAGGACATAAACTTGTGGGGATCAGTTTATACAACCTATTTTGCAATTCCTCATTTGAAGAGAAGTAAATTAAAGGCAGGATCATTGTGATTGCATCATCTGGTAGTTGGCTAAACGCTCCAAGGCGCTCAGCCTCTATAATGTATGTCAACTCTTCCATTTCTCTCATATATTCTTCCTATTAATCTGCATATATATATTCTCTCATGGTTTGTTTATTATGTTCAAATGGTCTTTGCTATTTTAGGCAAGCAAAGCTGCAGTTGTAAGCTTTTATGAGACCTTAAGAGTAGAACTCCTCCCATCAGATATCGGAATAACCATTGTAACCCCGAGGCTAACTGAATCAGAAATGAGCAAGGGAAAATTTCTGGGGAAATCAGGAGAAATGGAAGTTGATCAACATACAAGTACAGGACAACATATATTAAGGATTTAAAAAGATAGTACAATGGACCACAAAAAGTGCACAATACATCATAACATAGTTTTAAAAACAAAACAAAATACATTAACGATAACATCATTTTCCTTAAAAACCAACAATCTACTGAGCAGGAAAAACAGAAGACAAAAACAGTTCATCTTCCTTAAAAACCTGAAGGTTGTGTAGCTTCATCAGGAAGCTGATAGCTACTTTATCAAACTTGACGATGCACCCCAACCTGATGAGTTCACCAAGCTCACGCACCGCATCTTCTTTCTCCCATAATATCCCCTTGGAAACTTCTTCTGAGTAATAACTAGCAAATTCCAGGACACTTTTGTAACCATCCCATTTTTCAGTCTCTGCAATGAAGAACTTGGACCTCTCTCTCTCCCACACCATCATTCTCCTTGCCTTAGCAAATACAGTTTTTCCAGACGAGAGTGATAGCCTATAGTCCACAGCAATGGGTTCTTTCAGCTTCAGAAAGCTGGTGTTCAAGAGCCGCCACACCGACTCATGCCTCTTCTCCGCTTCCATCTCCAGAGAAGGCTGAGCTAGGAAACCAAGAATGAGAGTGAACATGGTTTTCCCAATGAAGACCATATCCGGATGGACCAGTTCCAGCCCGGCACACTCGATTGAAGAAAGTCCCATATTCTGGGCAGATTCTGACAAAGCCCCAACACCAATTTCTCTGTAGATATTGAAAAGCTTGGTTCTGGGCAGGGATGGCAGGCTTGGCTGGGGGAACCAAATAAACAGAGGATCCACACAGCTTTGTTCAAAAAGTTCCTTCTTGTAGAGATCGTCGGCTATAAAAACGTCGTTTTTGTCAAGCAACAAAATCCCATCATCCTGGACTGAACAAACAGGAAGTTTGGATAGATTCTCTACAACAAGTTTCTGTGTCTTTGAGCTCCAATGGTTAACTATGAACTCCCAAAAGGCACAGCACTCAGAAGGCAGTAATCTCCTCTCTGCACACTCCCATTCCTTCCAAAGCTTCAAGTAGTGTTCCAGACTAGGATTGCTATTAGCTCCCAATTTGCTGAAGAAAAACTGCAATTCATTGCTGTAATACTTGTCTAAGACAAACAAGTGTGAACCAAAAAGATTGGTTTTATCATGGAGAACACAATCCTTAGGACTCACCCACTTTCCACTATTCTCCCCATTGGGAATCCATATCTTTGCACTTACATCACTGCCAGGAACCCAACTGTTATCGTTCAAGTAAGTATATATCCGATTGATAGCGGAACGATTAGAGTGCACATCAAGGTAATCAGCAACCAAGGAGCATCCATTTTTCGCCTCAACCACTACCCCCAAAGCCTCAAGTTCATTCATGTATGACAGAAAATTAGGGCCGCCGTAAAACTTGTTATCTATGAAGGCTCCATCTTCTTGCTTCAGCCCACTATTCCAACTAGAACCAAATAGCAAACATTGTTTTGGAGATCGATAGCCTGCTTGAGTCTTGATCCACTTGTGATTGAGTTTCACCAAGAGAATGGAGATAAGATCCTTGTCAACATCCTCTTGTAAATGCCCTCTCGAGAATGGAGATAAGAGAATGAAATAGTAAAAACCTTTTCTCTAGGCCCTGCACCTCTAAAATGTATACCCCTTGAACTGCCTCTCTGAACAACAATCTGAAGAAAAAAGATGGCAATCATCAAACTGAATTTATAAAGTAAAAGATCAATCAAACACATGCAATAATTGAAAGTGCATACATCTTGAGCTACGTCTTCCGGGCTGACAAAGGTTTTCCTGGAACAATAATGATGATATAGAGCTATTAAGCAATGAATTTAGTATTACCAACAGGCATATGCACCCTTACATAATACAGTTACGTTGGAGCTTCAGAGAAGCTTACTTGACTATCACATATGGGCTGAGGCCATTTTCAAGGGATTTGTATACGTCTGAAATGGAAATGTATAAATTAACATGAATTTTTTAGGTTACCATTAAATTTATCATAAAATTATAAATATATAAAGGATATTGACAAACTATCAAATCTCAAGAAATTGAAAAGTAACTTTGCAATAAAAGTTCACCAACATAAATTTAAATAGAAGCATGATAATTAGAAGAATAACGCTATTTGCCCTTTCTAATTTTACCTCCTCCTGACACAATAATAAAACTCCGTACCTCCTGTGAAAATAAAACTCTGTAAATTGACCTACCTCACTTTGCATAAAAAAAAACACTACTCATTAATCAAATATTAAAAGAACCAACCACATATTGCCACTAAAATTAAGAAGAAAATGTAACATCACTCTATTCAGAAATACCTTGACACTAGTTCTGCAATGATAATAGATTTTTCCTTGCATCTGATGTTGTTATTACTGGGTCACTCTCAAGAAAGTATAAATTTCAATGCAGCATATAGCTTGAGAGTTGAGAATTTCAAAATTCAAATTCAATTGTTGATATGTTGGTAAAGAAGACATGTTTGCATGGTTTCAATTCTACTGCATATTTATGTGCTTCAGAAAGCTACTGAGAAAAGTAAAGCCCATGAAAATACAACAGAGCTTACAGAACATAAAAATCATTTGTTGAAGGGAACAGAATATAGTATTCTTATATTAATTTAATGAAACAAATTCTTTCAAATCATAAAGGAATTAAGCTTCTGCATCACAACATGTTAGCTTGCTGCCCCAACGGCGCCTACGAGCTCTCCTCTTCCTTCCATCAGTTTTTGCCTTAACTTTCTCCTTCAAGTCCCTTTCTCCGCGTCGTTTATACTTCTTGAAAGTTATTTGTCGCTCTTCAGCCATTTTCCTAACCTTCTCTGTAATCTCCGCTGCAATCTGTCTATTATACAACTTTCTTAGACTGCGCATGAGCTTGGCAAATGTGTCTGGCTGAGGCATCACACCAGCATCCATCATATCCAAACAGTATGAGCATGCTTCCTTCACATGCCCTTTAGAGAAAAGTGCATGAATCCAAATTGTCCATGCATATACATTAAGCTCACAACCTTTAGTCACAATGCAACTCCACACACCTTTGCTCATTTCAAGCTTTTCTTCTCTTAGTAGAGAATTTAGTAAGTCTTTCAAAGTACCATATTGAGGAACTGATAGAAGACCTCTTCCAATCATTTCTTTAAAGAAATCACAAGCTTCAACTAGACGCCTCTGCTCAATAAAACCATTAATCATAATGACAAAGGTGTCAACCCCTGGACTTAACCCATTTGCTTCTATTTCATTCCAGACTCGCATACCTTCGTCAATTTCTCCCAATTTGCATGCCAACCGAATTACAGTGTTGTAGATGCTGAGATCAGGGAAAATAGCTATCTTCTGCATCTCCTTAATAAGTTCCATGCACTCCTCCAACTCTTCATTCTTCTCATGCGCAAGCATGACGTGCAAATAAGTAGTCTGATTAGGCATATACCCCTTCTGTATCATCCTATCTAGAAGCTCATAGCCTTGATCAGTCTTCCCCAACTTACAGAACCCACTTATCAAAGTGGTGTATGTCACAACATCAGCCTCAGTGCCACTTCTCTCCATATCCATGAATACCCTCATAGCTTCCTCCATCTTTGCTTGTGAACAAAGTGCTTGAATTACAATTGTGAAGGAAGTTGCATTGGGATAGCAAGATTTCCTTCTCATCTCCTGCAAAAGATCAAATGCATGAGCCATTTTTCCAGCCACAGCATACCCATTAAGCAAATTATTATAGACCACAATATCAGGTTCAAAACCAGCATCCCTCATTCTCACCAACACAACTTTCGCCTGCATAAGCTTCCCTTCTTTGCACCAGCCATATAACAATGATGTGAATTGCTTAATTGTAGGCTTAAACCTAAATTTCATTTCCTCAAACAATGTAGATGCCTCTTTTACACTGCCATTCTTGCACAAAGCATCCAACAAACATCCAAATACATACTCATCTGGTTCACAACCATATTTGGGCATCTCATCCAAAACTTCAATAGCTTTCTTCACCATTCTAGCTGAGGCAAATCTCCGCATTAAAATCACAAACACCTCAGGGGATAATAATTGAGGACTTTCTTTTCTCATCTCCTCAATAAGAGCCCAAACAGCTCCAAACTGCCTCATTTTTCCTAAAATCTTGATCATAGCTTTGTACACATCATAGCTATACCTATATCCAGGTTGCTTCGAAGCCCACGCAAAGAATTTGTACCCCAAGTTCCCAGCATCACCACAACGGTTCAATACACGTTCTGTCAATCCTGACCGCACAACAACACCAGACTGTTGCAAAGCAAGTTCTAATTTTGGAACCCTAGAGTGGAACTTCTTCAAAATTCTATATACCTTCTCAACATCAGTGGTGAATTCATCTTTGTTCTGATCATTTGCCAACTCTTCTGGTTCAGTTTTGAGGTGGATGAGGCCAGGTCCCTTCCTCAGTTCATTGTGCATACTTGGGGACTCATTACAAAAATTTCGTGTATGAGTTTGTAGTGGCTCGTTGAGTTTTGATAAGTAGGTGCAGAAAAACTGAGTCTTTGTCAAGTTATAGAATGGGGTTGTGGGAGCTTTTGAATTGAACAATAAGGGAGATCCTTTTTTGTAAAGAAGCATTGTTCTCTTTGAAGGAACCCTTGGCATTTTCTTTTCCACTCTCGGAGCAGAGGAGATTTACAAAGCATGGTCCTCACTGTATAAAATCACTTCCTATGTTGGTTCTTATCATTACTAGTAGGGGTGCCTGTGAAGGCCCAGCCAAATCAAATTTATTACTTCTGTATTTCCTATTTTCCTACAAGAGTAACTTCCATGCATTCCTTGCAAAGTAAAAAGAAGGATATCAATGACTGAATTAGAATAGAACTTTAAATAATTTTTGACAATTATATTTTATATTACTAAAGATGTGATGGGAAGGGTTTTCTATTGCTGATATTCATCAGTTTTACAATCAGGATATTAAAGAACAAATCATTGTTGTGATTCAACTATGGAGTGCTAAGTTGTCTTTGCAGAAGACAACTAAATATTCTATTGCAGAAGACAGTTCTCTAATCTATATTTTTTAAAAGTACATTTTCTACTACTTATTTGGATTTTTACTTTTCATCTAGGTTGTCACTGCAGAAGAGTCCTGTGTGTAGTGTCAATACTACCACTGTTCTATCGCAGTCTACTGGATTTGGTGATTTTAAAAATGGTTTTGTGGTTGTAACTGCCCTATCTGACCTATTTCAGGAACAAAAGGTTAGTACTATTGATTCTGTTGATAGTATAAATGCAAGGTATTGAATCTTAACACATAAGAATAAAAAAAAAAATGGCAAGCAGTAAATTAACTTACTTTTTACTGGTTATCTAAACTGTAGCAGATTTGAAGAGATTTGAAGACTAATAAGTCCTAGCATGCATGAGAAACTTAAAAAACTTAAGAATCAATGGTAGGCATCAACTTAGGTAAAAACAACTTCAAAAAAAAATTATACACCTTAAAAGTTAGATAAAATGTTAAAGTCAAAATCTTAGCTCTTAGGTTACAGTCACTATCAAATAAATCAAAGTCGAAGATTTGAAGCCTAATAAATCAAAGCAGGCATCAGAAACTTAAAAACCTTAAGAATCAATAGTACACATCAACTTAGGTAAAAACAAGTTTTAAACAAAATACAGTGTAAAGTTAGATTAAATGAAAAGTCAAGATATTAGGTTACAGTCACTATCAGTTCAAAAAGGTTTTCACTTTTAGGGCTGAAGTGTTGGATTCAAATGTTAAATATGATTAAATTAATACTTTATATACTTCAAAAATTGATTTTCAATCATCAAAGTTTAGAAATAAGGCATCAGAGTAGATCATAAACTGATCCTGCCTTCAACTTTATAATCAAAGCAGGGATCAGAAACTTAACAACTTCAAAATCAATAGTATAAGCTAACTTAGGTTAAAAAAACTTTAAAAATATAATTATACAGTTTAGAGTTAGATTAACTGTTAAGTCAAAATATTTGGGTGCAGTCACTATCAACCATACAGTTTTTTGATAACCTAAACCATCAAATTATACAGTAGAATTATATATTTTTTTTCCTGGATACTTATGGATTTCTAATACATTTTTAATGGTTTAGGTTATCAAAAAAGTACATAAGGAGATGCAAATTAAAAATGACACAGTTCTGTTGTCTACTTAATGTAAGTTAATTAGATATGGATAAGGATTTCAGTCTAAGGAAGTGATGGAAGATGATTAGCAAGATGATGAGGTTATGTTGACAATAGCTTTTTTTTAAAAAAAGGCTACACCTACTTTATGAATATTAAAGTATCCGGCACTTTAATATTTATAGCGTTCATTAGAAAAACAGTTCATATTTTGAACAAATAAAAAGATATTTTGAACAAATAAAAAGTTGAATTCAACAACAAAAAAAAAGGCTTTTTTTTTTTTAAAAAAAGAAAAAGCTTTATTCTCAAACAGACTTCAATTTATTGAGTTCAAATATGTATTTGCATACTTTCTAAATAGTAAAGTCTCAAATACATTCATATTTACAGCCATCATTAGGAAAACACTTCATATTTTGAAAAAAAAAAAAAAAAAAACCCTCATTTCACCAAAAAAAAAAAAAAAGAAAAGTGAAGCCTTTTCTTTTTTTTAGAAAAAAAAAAAAAAAAAACTTTATTTTCAATCAGTTGAGCATTGAGGTTGAAAAAATACATGTATCACTTGCAAACAAATAAAAATCAACTTTGAGAAAACAAAATTATGAAATTACAGAGTGAACTATCAGGCACTCCCATAGACCAGGAGCATAACACCAATACAAGCAGCATTTCTGTCTCTAAGGTAAAAGTAAATCACTGCTCTCCTTCTAATCCAATACAATTCAACATCCTATTTAAATATGCAGGTCTCAAGAGAAAAAAGGAATGTATCCAAGTAACAACAGAAGCTATCAAACCCACAATTGATCCAGGAATCATTAATTACTGATCCCCATTCCCCAGATTGATCTATCATCATATGCCAACAACTTGGAAAGAAAATGTCAGTTCAAGGGAAAAAAAATAAAACATTGCAAGGAGTATATATGTCTATAAAAACACATCTATCAAGCATAACAGAATTACAACAACAGAAAAATAAACACTATTGAGGCAAATAAAATGTTCAGTTATCATAGGCAACAAGAGGAAGCATATCATATCAGACAAAGGCATGCCAATTATGCATTTTAAATTTGTAATTTTACCTCACTCAACTGCTTATTTTACGGTATAACCCTAGGGTCTGCTTGCCTGCACTGAAATATATATGTATGAGAGATGAGAGATTAAATTATAGAAATTGCATGTTCAAAATTAGTTTCGAAGCAAGTACATACAATGCAGCCGGTAATTTTTTAGCATATACAGACTACGAAATCAATTTTGAGGCTGAATACTATAGATTTGAGGTATGAATGTTCTTATGCAGATAAGGTCGAAGAATACGGATTGGTGGCCGGAGACGTCGAGGGACGCTCATGTGCTGAGATCTGGAGACACCGACGGACGCTCGTGGGCGGTGATCCGAAGACTGCGAGGGGCGCTCGTGGGCGCGGAGCCGGAGACGCCGAGGGATACCTAAGGGCGGCGGGGAGCCGGAGACGCAGAGGAAGAGAAGCTGCGTGGCAGCGAGGAAGTCTTGCCTGAGATATGGTAATAGAGAGACACATAGCGACAGATAGATAGAGTTCTAATACACAAATGGAGTACACACTACAATCATACTATAATTCAAATGATACACCAAAAAGTGCTCTAACAACAGGTAAACGATTTATTATTACCATATTCAAATTTAATACAATTTCATTTCGTTTAATTAACTGGTTATAACATTTTACGAAAATTCTGTCTTTTTTAGTTAATAAAAAATCTTTGAATATACATATTAGTACACGAAGCATTGGATATACGACAAGCAACAATAAATCAAGACATTTTGTGTTAGGAGGACGGAAGCCCTATTTTTCCACTGCAACAAGCGATATATCTACCGATTAGTTATTTGTAATTGTCAAATTACATAATAGTTTTTATTCCAGTTACAAATTTAAAACATTAGTCATTCAAAATGTTATATATGTTATAAAAGGTACCGTAACGATGTCTGAGAGCCAACGACCACCTCTACAGGATATATCCAATGGTAAGTATTTTTTATATCATTTAAGTTGCTTAAGAAATTTATTGTTTTTTTATGTCATGAAATTTGTAAACTAAAAATGAATTAGGTACCACAAAGTTCAACAAAAGGACACGCATGGGTAAGGGTAAAGATGTTATCCAGTTTAATGTTGTCAATCAAGATTTGTTTCAAGATTTTGAAGAAGTTTCCAATAGTAATCTCATTTCAAAAATCGTTAAAGACAATTCTGGTAAGTTTAATATTTAATGATAATAATCTCTAAATTTTTAGAAAGTAATTATTATTTTGTATCATATTCCGTCCTTACGTACAAACTGATTATTAATTTTTTGAAACTATTGATATATATTCTACGTAGGATTGGCACCAATTACAAAACAAAATATCCAAGATAGTACAGATGGTAAGTCATTTTTTTTTTGTAAAAATTATGAGGTCATTTCAATTTTTAAACTAATTCTGTAATCTTTATTGACAGATGATTTATTTTTATTGTAGGCAGTGGCGGACCTAGTGTGGGGGCAGCTGCCCCCACTCACCCACCACATATATGTACTATATATATATATATATATATATATATATATATATATATATATATATATATTATATATATACTAAGATTTAACCAATAGTTAGTTCTGCTTAGATGGCAATTAAAATCCCTTGTATTGTGTATAATAATAGTCCAGATGGCTAGAGTTTGAACCCTACAGCTTGTATTTTTTGCTTGGCTTCTTTTTTGTATTTTTTAATATTAATAGTGTGATGAGTGAACTTTTGTTCTTGACATTTTTTAATATTAATAATAAGAATTCTAATTGAATTTTTTATTTGTATCATTGAGACTTCTTCTTCTTTTTTTTTTTTTTTTTTTTTTTTTTTTTTTTTTTTAATATTAATAGTGAGATGAGTGATTTATAATGTGTTTTTCATTCAAACTATTTTATGTAATTAATTATGTTTTATATTTTGTTTTAAATATTTTTTTGTCTTTATATATTTTGATTTTTTTTATCTCTAGTCAACAATATTTATGACTTGGTCTCTAAGTGTTTCAATTCATTTTTTAAAAATATATCTCATTAGGTTTAATTTTTCACCCCCACTGAAGAAGATTTCTGGGTCCGCCACTGATGGTAGGTACCACACAATGCAACGAAATATCATGCACAAACCCGACTACATTACTAATGCAGTCTATAGTGGGCATTTCAAATTTGAACCAATCATGTGGCGAACAAGCAAATACGATCCAAATAACAAAAAACGATGCACAACTATATATATATATATATATATATATATATATATATATATATATATATATATATATATATATATATATATATATATATATATACTAGTTTTTTACGCGCATTACACGATTGGAATAATGCCTAATGTTTTTCTTAAATAAGTATTTTAAAGTATATCAAGACAAGATTATATTAGAATTGTTCATGCATAGATAATTGAATGTTGAATTTGTGTATTTAAATTGGTAATTCTAAGTTTACAAATGCAAGATAATATAGTCAAGATTGATTATAATTGTGAATAAAATAATTGTATGAGTATGATTGAAACCAAATACGGGACATAAGGGAGATCAAATAAAAATTAAAGCATAAAATATTAAATATATACTAATATTGTTTGAGGAGATTCTGGCAGTAGGATTTGTGGTTAGAGTTATATTAAGACTTTAATATTAGAATTAGATTAATGTTGTAGTTATAATTCTATATTAGACTTTAATATTAGAATTAGACTAATGGTGAATTAACCGTACTTAATGAAAAAGTTAACGGATCAGATAATCATATAATTAAGGATAAATTAGGAAATCTCAAGGAAAAATTAAAATCTAAACAATATGAACTATTCATTTGATTTAATAATTTGACCGTCATTTTTTCTACCCAATGTTTATAATTAAATAAATATTTAAAAGTATATCAATGCAATATTATATATGAGAAGTTCAACATAAGTAATTTAATGTCTAATTTGTTTATTTAAATATGTAATTCATAGTATATGAATACAATGTAATATAGAAGATTCATTATAATTGTTACTAAACCTTTTTTAAATAGTAACTAAGTATTTTTGTTGCAAAGGGTTATAATAATTTAATGAATGCACATATATACAAGATCTGAATCAATGATACCAGTCCTATAGGTGTTTTGCTCAGTGTTCATTTAGTTTAACCATTATTGCTGAATAAATTATTATGGATACAGAAATTCCTTTTTTTTTTTTTGAATGCTACTAGCTCTATTAGATTGCAGTATCTGTTCATATACTTTCTCAACCTACTGAAACACAAAGAGCTAATAATACCTCCACTGAGGCTCGAACTCACAACCTTCCAAATGGAAGTCCAACCCGGGTACCATTGGACCACATAGTCCTGGTTAATTTAAGGAATTTAGATGTAGTAAAAATTTAAATTTTTTAATTATAATTTAACCCAAAGATATTGGATGATTGGTAAATATGATGTTATCCAAAAATCAAAATGCTAAAGAAAGTGTTTTGGTTATACAACAGTTTGAAGCAAGAATTTGTTCCAAACCACTGAAAATACAAACATTGCAATTTACAATATTTTCACTTAGCGTTTTTTAGAATGATTTCCCCAAAATACATCTATATTTTAAAAAGAAATTATTATTAGTATTATTATTATATGTATACCCTTAGGTCATTTTAAATGTTAATTTAAACAACAAATTTTTTTTAAATATCTTTTTTACCAACCGTTGATATAATTCGCCACTAACGCTAACCATTGTCAAACAAGGATATTGCGAGATAGTTTCTTACTTCAATTTGTTGTGTGATTTGAATACTCTCTTTGTCAACAAAGATCTCAAGTACTTAATATATATATATATATATATATATATATATATATATATATATATATATATATATATATATATATTTTGTGTAAACCACATTGTGATCCGGGTCTTTCTATGTTTTATATATATATATATATATATATATATATATATATATATATATATATATATATATATATATATATTTGTGTAAACCACATTGTGATCCGGGTCTTTCTATGTCCGTTTAACGGTCCAGGTCCACCAGGTTCGCTCTGAGAGGCACAGAAGCTGGCCCAAAGGGAATCATCACTTGTGGAAATTGAACTCGGTTTATCCCAAAATTCTTCCCCACAAAGAGAGCTCATTTGCCACTTGAGCTACCCTGTTGGGTTCATCAAGTAGTTAATATGATTCGGTTTATTAATTTAATTTTTTTAATTTTTTTTCGTGGTATTAATAAAATACTTGGTAAATAAATATATAACATTATTTTGTATTATAACTTTGATATATAATTAAAAAATAGTGCACAAAAAATATAATAGACAATGTAGTGAATATAATCAATTGATGAATTTGAATGTAAAGAATTTTTACATTGGAGAAAAATAAAGACAATATAACTAATAAATTATTTCTCTTAATTAATTTATTGATAATGAATAATTTTTTTTAATAAAGACATTGTAGGGACAATGTAGCGAATATAATCAATTAATGAATTTGAACTTTGAATGTAAAGAATTTTTATATTGGAGAAAAATAAAGACAATATAACTAATGAAATTATTTCTCTTATTTAATTTATTGATAATGAATAATTTTTTTTTTATTAAAGGCAATGTAGACACATAATTCTAAATTAAAGAAATGCATGTGTATTATATTTTGTTATAGCTACTAAATTATTATTTAATTTAATTAGAGTAAAATAGAGTACTAACTACTAATTATGTCAACTTTGATTGGGATGGGGTTTGAATCTAAGACCTTTCTTATTGAAATCAATGAGTATGTTAACGGTGAACTAACAAAAATTAACAGAAAAGATAATATTTAACGGAAAAGTTAACGGATAATCATATTCATTAAGGATAAATTAGGAAATCTCAAGAAAAAATTAAAATCTAATCAATCTGAGCCATTCATTTGATTAAAAAATTTGACCGTCATTTTTTCTATCCATTATAGGCCTAACTCTCTTGGGCTCTTATTAGTATATATATATATATATATATATATATATATATATATATATATATATATATATATATATATAGAATATACCGTATGAGTTATGTCTATATAGAAATTGTTAATGATATTCAGCAAGATTTGGATAACAATAATGTATTGGTAAAATCATTTCGCATGGCAAGAGATGAACTAGAAAAGTAGTATATAAAGAAGTATTCAATAATGTCTAATAAATTTCAAATGGTTGACTACCTTTTTTTTTTTTTTTTTTTTTTTTTTTTTTGATATTATACTATATATTATAATATGTATACATATTGCCGTGCACCGCACGGGTGCAACTACTAGTATTAGCTTAAATGGCCTAAGAATGGTACACAAAGGATTGTTTATAGCTTAAACTCACCCTTAATGGATCTTGAAAATGTGTGTTTTTGACACTTATCAGGTAGCTCTCTATGCTGATTCTTGGGCACAAAGTTTTCCTATACATGTACTCCACTTTTCCTTTTACTCCATGAATGTGGTATGCTTGATTAAGAAAAAGTGGTGAAAGTGGATACAGAAAAGGATCTAGTGATAATGACCAGGAAACTGGACGTGAAGGCGATGGTGGAGGATTTCAAGAAGCATCTGGGGGGAAAATGTTGCAGACATACCATTGCTGTGAATGAATGAGGAAGAAATATAGGTGAAAAGACAACTTTGTCCACAGACTTAACGCCCCTTTGACAGCAAACCTAACTGAGGACCACGGGTGATAATTTTTTTAAACTAGTAGGACGTCTAGTGGTTATTTTAAAGTCGGAGGAGCACACCTCGTAATATCATAATACTCGGAGGACCATTGGAGGTATTAACTCATACGAGAAATGACCGGTTTGCCCTCACATTTAACGGCCATTTGACAACAATCCTAACGGAGGACTATGGGTGGTTATTTTTTAAAACTTGGAGGACCTCCCGTGATCATTTTAAACTCGGAGGACCACACCTGGTAATACCCTAATACTCGAAGGACCATTGGAGGTATTAACTCACACACACACATATATATATATATATATATATATATATAGTAGAACTCTTTATACTTCAAGTAAATTTTCAATTGATTAAAGAAGTGTTTGAAAAATGACTTATCAATCAAAATTTGGTTCGAGAAGTAGAGTTGCCAAAATTATTTCAGAATTTTAATTATTGTATTCCTTCTCCCTTCCATTCTTTTCGTTCGGCCATCCATTTGGGAGAAGAATATAACGAAACAGCGTCTTCCCACACGGCATTACAATTTACTTTTTCAAATTTTAGGTCTCCAAACTAACAATCAGCTCTATAATATAAAAATAAAATTAATTAACTGTTACAAACTCATTACTAACATTTAAACATAATACTAAAAAATGTTTGATGAGACATCTGATTAAAAAATAATAAGTTTAGGTATTATTTAGGCTAGATTAACAAAATAAGTTCAGTAATACAATCATTTTGACTATAAAAGTTGGTTTACTTGTGATGCTATTGAGAAATATAGATTACTCATTAGGACTATGTAATGGTACAAAGTTAATTGTTACAAGATTGGCGAATCATGTTTTGAAAGCTCAAATTATGTGTGAAACGAAAGCAAAAACAAAGGTGTTATATTCTCTCATAGTTTGTTTATTATGTTCAAATGGTCTTTGCTATTTTAGGCAAGCAAAGCTGTAGTTGTAAGCTTTCATGAGACCTTAAGAGTATAACTCCTCTCATCAGATATCGGAATAAGCATCATAACCCCGGGGCTAACTGAATCAGAAATGATCAAGGGAAAATTTCTGGGGAAATCAGGAGAAATGGAAGTTGATCAACAAATGAGAGATGTAAGCTAAGCTATAACTCTTTCCCTTTAGTTTAGCTTGATTACAACATGTTTCATTATGAGTATAAATATGTGATTATTGGACAGATGCCGGTAAATGCCAAGTCTCATACCACATCATGTGATCAGAGGATTATTCGGGGAGGCCGGTAAATGGGCAGTCTAACACTCTAGCTCTAAAAAATGTGTGGTGCAGTGATATAAGAAAAAAGAGTTGTGTCTTTGCTATTAATTATAGTTTTTTGTGTACTGGTAAACGTTTGATGTTGATCTTTTTTCATAAAATGTGTTTGCCACAAGGTTGAATTGAGTGTGGTGCCAATAGAACCAGTAGAGAAGTCTGCAAAGGCAATCGTTAACATACAAGTACAAGACAACATATATTAAGGATTTAAAACGATAGTACAATGATAACATCATATTGTCACGGACCACAAAAACTGCCCAATACATCATAACGTAGTTTAAAAAACAAAACAAAAGACATTAACGATAACATCATATTCCTTAAAAACCAACAATCTACTGAGCAGGAAAAACAGAAGACAAAAACAGTTCATCTTCCTTAAAAACCTGAAGGTTGTGTAGCTTCATCAGGAAGCTGATAGCTACTTTATCAAACTTGACGATGCACCCCAACCTGATGAGTTCACCAAGCTCACGCACCGCATCTTCTTTCTCCCATAATATCCCCTTGGAAACTTCTTCTGAGTAATAACTAGCAAATTCCAGGACACTTTTGTAACCATCCCATTTTTCAGTCTCTGCAATGAAGAACTTGGACCTCTCTCTCTCCCACACCATCATTCTCCTTGCCTTAGCAAATACAGTTTTTCCAGACGAGAGTGATAGCCTATAGTCCACAGCAATGGGTTCTTTCAGCTTCAGAAAGCTGGTGTTCAAGAGCCGCCACACCGACTCATGCCTCTTCTCCGCTTCCATCTCCAGAGAAGGCTGAGCTAGGAAACCAAGAATGAGAGTGAACATGGTTTTCCCAATGAAGATCATATCCGGATTGGCCACTTCCAGCCCCGCACAGTCGATTGAAGAAAGTCCCATATTCTCGGCACATTCTGACAAAGCCCCAACGCCAATTTCTGTGTAGATATTGAGAAGCTTGGTTCTGGGCAGGGATGGAGGGCTTGGCTGGGGGTACCAAACAAACAGAGGATCCACACAGCTTTGTTCAAAAAGTTCCTTCTTGAAGAGATCGTCGGCTATAAAAACGTCGTGTTTGTCCACCAACAATATCCCATCCTGGCCTGAACAAACAGGAAGTTTGGATAGATTCTCTGCAACAAGTTTCTGTGTCTTTGAGCTCCAATGGTTCACTATGAACTCCCAAAAGGCACAGCACTCAGAAGTCAGTAATCTCCTCTCTGCACACTCCCATTCCTTCCAAAGCTTCAAGTAGTGTTCCAGACAAGGATTGCTATTAACTCCCAATTTGCTGAAGAAAACCACCAATTCCTTGCTGTAATACTTGTCTAACACAAACAAGTGTGAACCAAAAAGATTGGTTTTATCATGGAGAACACAATCCTTAGGACTCAGCCACATTCCACTATTCTTCCCATTGGGAATCCATATCTTTACACATACATCACTGCTAGTAACCCAACCGTGATCGTTCAAGTAAGTATATATCCGATTGATTGTGGCGTGATCAGAGTGGACATCAAGGTAATCAGCAACCAAGGAGCATCCATTTTTCGCCTCAACCACTACCCCCAAAGCCTCTAGTTCTTTCGTGTATGACAGAAAATCTGGGCCACCATAAAACTTGTCATCTATGAAGGGTCCATCTTCTTGCTTCAGCCTACCATTCCAACTAGAACCAAATAGCAAACACTGTTTTGGAGATCGATAACCTGCTCGAGTCTTGATCCACTTATGATCGAGTTTCTCCAAGACAACGGAGATCAGATCGTTGTCAACATCCTCTTGTAAATTCCTTAAGCACAGCAGAAGTGAACACGCAACAGAAGGCGAAATTTTACCAGGATTCTTGGGCATTCGGAGCCCTGCAGGAACAAACTTTGAGCCTTTTTTGAAAGTGGTAGTGACTCCTATACTACAAAGCTCCGCTTTGTACTCAAGAATGCCCTGATCATAATAAGCGTCATCCAGAAATGGTAACAGACAGACAGAAGAAATGGCTTCCCAATCTTTACCAAACAAGATGCACTCTTTGGGTGTACAGGCACTACCAATTCTGGTTCTAAGCCACTTCACCTCTTGAATAACTTTCCCTATATCTTCATCTGACTTTAGTAAATTCAAGCAGTTTGCATTCTTTAACTTCCTGTAGCATTCCAGGAGAGAAAGTGCATTGCTCTTACTCAATGCGCATTTGGATGTCTGCTGTCTAAAAACTTGAGCAAATGACTTACTAACATCCTCAAAACTAACCACCACACCCAACATTTGAAGCTCATTCTTGATCAAACTGATTTTACTCCCATAGAACTTCTCGTCAATACAAGGAAAGTCATCATCGAAAACCTGAAGAAGGCTAGCCCAGGTTGGATCTGGTAGGAAACATTCAGCAGGAGATCTGTATCCATTGCTCACAGTCTTTAAGCATCTGTTGCCCGCGAGGGCTATGCATAGACTATCAGAAGATCCTAAATTTAGGTGATGAATACAGTTTAGTGCCAGGAGAGCTGCTTCAGCACTTAGTGAAGCCAAGTTGGCTGAAGGTTTCAAGTTGGAAACTACTAGCTGGAAATTTTGATCGAAACCATAGGTTAGACCAAGAAGCTCGAGTTCTTCCTTGTAAGCAAGAATCTCATGACCATAATGATTTTGATCAAGAAATGGAATGTTGCTGATCTGCGATGCTGCAGGCCATTCCTTATCAAGAAACACAGATTGGCCTGGGGTCTTGTTGCCTTGAGTTGTCTGGACCCAACTCTCATCTTTGATACTGTTGATGAAGTTATCAGGAGGGAGAAGTCTAGCCCTCAAATACCTAAGGAAATTCAGCATCGAAATGACATCGCCTTTTGTCAATGTAGAAGAAGCATACAGAGACATAAAGTGCTTCGCAATAAATTCACTGGCTTCCTTTAACTCAAACATAACACCAGCAGTTCTCAGAGCTTCTTTATACTCCCCAGAAATCTCATCACCATAAAACTCCTGATCAACTAATGGAATACCAACAGGCAAAGATCTATTCTGCAAATGGTCTCCCCAGGACTCGGAAGGTAAGAAGGATTGTGATGGGGGCCTGTAGCCAGGACTACCACATACATGGACTCTAAGCCAGCTTCCTTCCCTTATGCATTTCAAGAATCTCTCTGGGATCTCTTTCTTTTTCATTTTACCAATCCAATCTAAAAGAAGGAATGCATTATCCCTGGTTAGTGGGGAAGCCATACTGGATAGTGAAACATCTGGAGGAGGCAAATTGGGAATATCCAAAACACCAGCAGAAGTCATAAGAAATTGAAGGAGCTCATCTTTCTTGGTAGACACATCAGCATATGTTTGAGCATGCAAATATTCTCCTCCTAGCTCAACGTAATCCTCTTTTTCCCATGGATTTGATGAACCAAGAAGCTGCACCCATTTACTTCCATTTGCAGGTACAACAACGTGTTTCCTTTTAGTGTTCACACGCCCAGAGTCATCAACAAGCGGCATGTCAACACCAAGCGAAGCAATTTGTGTTGCAGACAAATACTTGTGGGTGAACGAGTGATACAGGAAATGAGCATATGCAAGGACAAGCTTCTGGTCATGAATCAGTGAGTCCCGGATCATAACTGCATAGTTTTGCACATCTACAGACTTCACACTCGACTTACTGCAAAGCCATTTGAACACTTTCTTCCACTTAGAAGGGCTACTGTGAAGTGTTTTCTGGGTTGATTCAGAAATGAAATATCCGCCAACGCAACGAAATTCTCTATTCCAACTTGTCAGCCATGATACTTCATCTGAGTAAGTGCACAGAAACAACGTTTTTGTAGAAGCAGAATTAACGCTACTCAATGCTACATGCAGGTTACTGTCAATGAACTTCAACAATGGTACTTTCACCATACTCGTCTTTGAAAATGACCCCCAGTTGACAGCAACAAATAACAGAAGTTCCAGGTATAGATCCTCTGAGACACCCAAGACAAGATTAGAACTCTGAATGCTCCTCGAATACCACTCGTATTGTACACACTTTACATTCAAAAACTTCAAAATGTCATTGTACTTATCCTGATCAAATGCATGGTTCAGAATATATTTCCCATGGGAAGATATATCGAGGAAACTGACCCCTTGCTTCCTTGCCTTATCCACCAACGTCCAAAATGCAGGCTTTAGCCTTCCAACTTGATTTGGTTTTCGGAAAAACTTCTCTGTTGTATATGATTGACACGGCATAATTTCCTCCTTGAGAAGTTTCTGTCTGATTGAGTCTTTGATGGAGTTAAGACTGGGATATGGAGGACCTTTAAGTGGCAGAAAGTTAAACATATGAACCAGAGTAGAGGTGGGAGCATCTTGGTTAGCCTTTACTAAGGAGGTGAATGCTGCTAAGAAGGCCACAGAAACACATTCCAGAATTCCCTTATTCCATTTGTTATCCAAAAGAATGGCCTCCCTGGACGATGATAGCAAGAAGTCTGCCTGAATAATGAAGGGGAAGTTGGTGACCATTTCTGTAGGAAGAAAAGCATAAATCCCAGGAGAGATATTTCCACGTTTGAGGCGTTCCCCATAAGGAAACGCAAGGGTGATCACCCACTCATCAACCTCCATTCTCCTACCAACTCTGCATTCTTGCTTAACTGGGAATCTTTGCCTCCACATATGGTAACTGCATTCTCCATTGCTCCCAGCTGAAGCCTTTTCGTCAGCAGAAAGAACCAACAGGAAAGACTCAGCATCAATGTTTTTCTTCCTCACAAGATCTCTCCCGCTTGAAATGGAAACCGCGCTAACAGTATTGAGCTTTGGATCCTGGTTTTCTTCCCTGACCGAAATCTCTCTTATCTTTGAAAGAAACAAGAGAAGCTCAGGATGAACGCTTGAAAGCTGCTGCTTCACCTGCGCCACCTTGTCAGACTTGAGCGGCAAAACCATAGTTGTGGGAGGTCGTTTCGTTGAAGAACCATAGATTTGGTTTATCCGTGCAAGAATAGGGTTTCCATCAACCCATTCTGGAACAATAAACCCAATACCGCAGTGCTCGCACGGTTCCTCGCTAAATCGAATCTGGTAACCATTGCTGAAAATGTATGGTCGAGCAGTGATCAGAAACACGCTCTTGAACCCAATCCCTGAAACACGTACACAAGATCAGAGAACTCTATCCCATATTATATTAATCTTAGTTATGGTTACCAAGTTAACGAATGAATAGATAATCTTGGTTATATTTATCTTGGTTGGTCTCATAGAAAAACGTTGTTATTCTTATAAATGAATGAATAGATAATGATAAGGGCGGCCGGGAAGACAAAAACAAAACCTTTCTCGCCAATATAACCACTCTTGCGTTTGCCTTTCTTAGTAGAACGGCCGACCCTACAAACGGATTCAACGTTGTTGCTGGAAAAGCCTTTCTCGTTGTTGAATATCAAGAGGGTCGCCTTTGCTCCCGTCTCCGTTAAGTCTTTTGACGTGATCACGAATTCCAGACTGGGTTTCACTCCCTCCTCGTACTCATTATCTTCGGCATTCTGCACACCACACCATCCATCACTTACGTCTTAAGAAATGGACTAGCTACAAACTGAACTGAAGAACAAAAAGGACATTTTAATATATATGTATGTACCTGGATGAGTTCCATGAGAAAGTGGACATCCTTTGAGTAGAGCTCGGCGGAGAGGTTTTTAACGGCCTGATGGAGGTCCTCTCTGAGAGAGTTTGGGTCTCCTCCGATTGAAAATTTTCTTCTGCGGATATCCTCAATGTGATCCTTCGGACTCATAATCATCGCCATACTGCAAAAAGGATGATCAACCGGAGTAGCTAAAGCTTAGTTGGTGAAGGGCTGATGTAGTGTGAGAGAAGCTTGGGATAGATGGATGGATGGAAAGACATCAATCACATTATATCGGAAGACAGACAGCAAGGCGGTATCAAGAAGAAAAATGGTCACATGCATGAAGTCCAAGAGACATGGAGTTTGGTGGCTAGGAAAATTGAATTAACTTTAAATATTATTAGTATTTTCAATTCTCATTATGTTTATTTTATAGTTCCCATCATGTTTTTAATATTTGTAATTTTTCAATTTTTCTTAATGGTCTATTTAAACAGACTTTTGTATTGAGAAGTTAATTGAAAGTCTTTGAATTTGAGTTATATTCACTACTACAGAAAACATTTTAATGTCACCATTTTAATGTCGGATTTTAAAAAATCCGACGTTAAATATTTAAAATTATTTTTTATTTTTTTAAAAATACATATGACGTCGATTATAACAAATAACTGACATCATATATAATCGAATTTTTTTTTTTAAAAAAAGAAAGAAAGTAAAATAGTTACGATCGGCCGACGTCGTAATCTAATTAAAAAAAATTGAAATTTAAATAACATACGACGTCGGCTAACTAATTAGCGACGTCGTATGACATTTAAATAAAAAAAAATAGGAATTAAAATAAGATACGGTGTCGGCTATTTAATTAGCCGACGCCTTATTCTATTTAAATAAAAAAAAAGTATTATAATACATACGGTGTCGGCTAAGTTAGCCGACGCCGTATACTTAATATAAAAAAAATAATTAATTTACGGCGTCGGCTATTTAAAAAGTCAACGCCGTATATACTTAATATAAAAAAAATAATTAATTTACGGCGTCGGCTATTTAAAAAGCCGACGCCGTATGTTCGCTTAATTAATTTACCCTAGCTAACTGGCCTGATTCGAAGCGCAATTCAAACAAATAAAAAAATTCGCCATATTCATCTTCATCTTCACCACACCACCGTTCGCCTCCACACCACATCTTCATCGCCTCCTCTGTTCGCCTCCTCACCGCTACACCGCGTCACCGCCTTCGCCTCACCACGAACGTCGTTTTGTTGATCAGATCAGACGCCGTTCGCCTCACCGTTTCCGCCGCTGCTCTCCTACGCCGCCGTCGCCGCCCTGCTCTCCGACGCGGCTCGTGTCTCGCCGCCACAGCTCGGACAGACGCCGCTGACTGGTACGTAATATATATATATATATATATATATATATATATATATATATATATATATATATATATATTATTTAATTAGTTTTTTTATACATTTTAAATTTTATAAAATATTGTTTATTTTGTTTTATGAAATATTGTGAAATATTGTTTATATAGTTTTAATTTTTAGAAATTGTTATCTATAAATGAGATGTAGAGAGTAGTAGTTTAATTATTTAACAAATTATATTCTACCAAAAATAATTGAAAAATGTCTGAATTGCACATATTTTATATATTTAATGATTTAATTATATAAATTTTATGTTTAATGACTCAATTATATAAAAATGATAAGTTTGATGACTTATTTTACTTTTTTTTTTTAATTTAAAATGACAAAATTTACTGGATAGAGCTGAAATTAATGAGAACACATATCATATCTATGCCTAAAAGCTCAATTTATTTATAGTGAAATGACTATGACAAGAGGGAATCTACCTATAAAATAAAATATTGATCCTAATAAAACAATAAAATAAAGCTTGATTCATGATGAGACAAAGTTATTGTAGGCTCACTTTTAGGCTGTGTGTGATTAATGTTACTGTTGAAAAAGGAAATGATTATTTTCTGACATTTTTTTCAAAATCTTTTAGCATTCCTTGATAAAATCATTAGTTAATTGAGTCCCAGCAACTATTAGAATCAAGGGCTAAATCAAGAAAAATCATTAGTCAATAACTAAGTTAGATATTAACCACTATAATTGATGATTAATTCGGATAAAATTACTATAATCAAATACTAAATTAGTTATTAATAAAAAAAAATTACCAAGCTATGTTTGCAGAAGACTTAATTAGATAAAATCATAGAAGTCGATAATTCAATTAAACACAAAAAAAAAACATTTAAAACTAAATTAAATGAAACTATTATAGTCAATAATAACTAAATACTCACAACATAACGAACTATTAACTTCTAACTAATAAAAATTAAAGTTTTAATTTTTAGAAATTGTTTATATAGTTTTAATTTTTAGAAATTGTTAGGAATATATATTTTAGGAATATTATGAAATATTGTTTATATAGTTTTAATTTTTAAAAATTGTTATCTATAAATGAGATGTAGAGAGTAGTAGTTTAATTATTTAGGTGAAGTTTTGTTAAAATAGTGTTAACAAATGTTTAACTAGGGTTATTATTATTTTAGATTGGCTTGTGATGGATAAAAGTTGAATGAAAGCTAATCGACTTAGTCAGGAATATGAAGATGGAGTTAGAAATTTTTTACAGTTTGCAAAGAATAACCTCCTGAATAGTAATAAGAGGTTCTTCTGTCCTTTTACGAAATGTTGTAATCAGAAAAGGTTAGGTGAAGATGACATATATGATGATCTAATCGTTAATGGGATTAATCCATATTATACACAATGGATTTGGCACGGTGAAAGCGATGTGGCTACAACATCTAACATGTATGTTGACAATGAAGATGATGAGTCCGAAGATCGGTTGGATGAAATGTTTCGCGATGTTGGAGAAGAGTTTACCAATCGGTCAAATGAGTTGGATGAATTATTGAATGATTCAAAACAACCTTTATGGCCAGGGTGTAGTAAATATACCCGATTATCTGCTGTATTAAAATTATTCAACTTGAAAGCTGGGAATGGGTGGAGCGACAAGAGCTTTACTGCGTTACTTAAAATAGTCAATGATATGCTTCCAGATGGTAATGAACTTCCCAAGAGTACATATGATGCCAAAAAGATGTTGTGTCCCATGGGTATGGGATACAAAAAGATACACACTTGCCCTAACGATTGCATATTGTTTAGGAATGATTACAAAGACTTGCATGCATGTCCAATATGCGGGGCATCTCGTTATAAAACAAGAGAGAGTGGTAAAGTACGTTTGAAAAGTCTACCAGCTAAAGTTTTGTGGTATCTCCCAATTCTTCCAAGATTTAAACGCATGTTTGCAAATCCAAGCGATGCGAAGAACTTAACATGGCATGCAGATGAAAGAATTTCCGATGGCAAGCTTCGACACCCGGCTGATTCTTCTCAATGGATAACATTTGATAATGCATTTCCTGAATTTGGCCACGAGTCGAGAAATCTTAGACTTGGACTTTATACTGATGGTATTAACCCCCACGGGAACCTAAGTAGCAAGCATAGCTCGTGGCCAGTTATGTTGATAATTTATAATCTACCCTCGTGATTGTGTATGAAGCGCAAATACATATTATTATGCTTGATGATTTCTGGGCCAAAACAACCAGGTAATGATATAGATGTTTTTTTGGCGCCTTTGATTGATGACTTGAAGCAATTATGGGATGAAGGTGTGTTAGTGTTTGACGCATACCGGAAGGAGACTTTTAAGTTGCATGCAATGCTTTTTTGCACAATCAATGACTTTCCAGCTTATGGAAACTTGTCTGGATATAGTGTCAAAGGTTATAAGGCATGCCCCATATGTGAAGATAATACCTGTTATCATCAACTTGTTCATGGTAGAAAGACTGTATACATGGGGCATTGGAGATTTCTTGATAAATTTCATCCTTATTGAAAATTAAAAAAGGCATTCAATGGGGTACAAGACTATACAAATGTTCCACAACCATTGACTGGGAATCAAGTTTATGAACGAGTTGAATGCATCAATGTTACTTTTGGTAAGACTCAAAAGCTTCAATCTCAAAGAGGTAAGAGGTCAAAAGAGATACCTACAAATGAGAAGAGTCCGTAGAAAAAGAAATCTATGTTCTTTGATCTTGGGAAGACACTAGACGTGAGACATAGTATTGATGTGATGCATGTGGAGAAAAATGTTTGTGATAGTCTTGTTGGAACTCTTTTAGACATAAAACTAAAAGGTAAGACTAAAGATGGACTCAATGCTAGATTGGATTTGGTTGAAATGTGTATACAAGCTACATTAGCTCCACGTTGCGGGGATAAGAGAATATATTTGCCTCCGGCTGCTCATACTTTATCAAGAAAGGAGAAAATAATTTTTTGTGAGTGTTTACGTGGAGTAAAGGTACCACAATGGTATTCATCAAATATCAGTAGACTTGTTAATATGCAAGATTTAAAGTTGGTGGGGTTGAAGTCTCATGATTGTCATGTCTTAATGCAACAACTATTGCCAGTGGCTGTTAGAGGCATATTGCCTAAAAAGTTGAGATATACCATCATAAGACTTTGTTTCTTTTTCAATGCAATATGTGGGAAAGTTGTTGATCCAGACAAATTAGATGAATTGCAAAATGACATTATTGTTACACTGTGTCAGCTAGAGATGCACTTTCCACCTTCATTTTTTTATATCATGGTTCATTTGCTTGTGCATTTGGTGAGAGAGATCAAACATTGTGGTCCAGCTGGTATGTACACCTTTATTGCTTGGCCAAAGAAGCTGGTAGAGTTATGTACTGAAGCTGATGCGGTATGTACACTGAAAATATTTCTATTTTAAAATAGTAAGTAATTTACTTTTTAAAATAATAATTCTTACTTGTATTATAATTCAGTCAAAAGAAAAGACCAAATTGACTTTTCAATCGGGTGTGTAATCCGTACATCAACAATTAACAATAGCTGATCCAGATTCTTTGATTGATGGATGCAAAAAGGCATTCTCAATAGCTCGCCGTTTTGAACACCGTCTTGTGGTCCATGTGGCTCGTGGTATTATGGGCAACATTGACTATGACTTGCACCTTGCAAGTGATGAGATAATGCGTTTCTTAAAAATGGAGACCATCGATGTTTCTCTAGTTCAGTTCTTTATGAGGTAATAAGTTC